GGGTATATAACCTATAAAAAGTGTGGTAGTAAAGGCCTAAATTCTTGGGCCATAATAATAGCTTTGCAATGGAACAATGCCTTCACTCTCATGAGGGGCTTGTATCTCGTTGCTTACTATTGGCCACTGTTACTTGAGATTTGATGATCTCTTACCAGTGGTTTTAACTTTTCTGAATCTTCTGTAGTCACTTCCTTTTATCTATTTGTTTGCAGTTATGCATGACATGCGCCTCATTCACACTGATTTAAAGCCTGAGAATATTCTTCTTGTTTCTCCGGAGTACATCAAAGTACCTGATTACAAAGTACTATTCTATTTCTGTCTTAAATGATGTAGCTTAGAGTTTGTTGAAAATAACTTTGACCTTATGGTTGACATTTGCTCTTAGTAATAGGTTAGCTGAATCCTTCGTTTCTTTGTGGTTAAATAACCATTGGAATGCCATTGCAGCACTAATAGTCAACTGTTTACTTAGGTGTCATCCCGATCTCCGAAACAGGGTTCCTACTTCAAGAGATTGCCAAAATCAAGTGCCATCAAGGTGATTGATTTTGGAAGCACAACTTATGATCGTCACGACAATAGTTATGTAGTGTCTACGAGACATTATCGGGCACCTGAGGTTATCTTGGGTGAGTTCTGTTTAATGAACAAATAGCATTTTGTTTGCATCCATTTACTTATTGTTTGATAATATTAATGATTGAGTTTAGGACTTGGATGGAGCTATCCCTGTGATATTTGGAGCGTCGGTTGTATTCTTGTTGAACTTTGCTCAGTATGTTTATCGGAGAGGAGCATCTTTGTTTTAAAATCTGTTAACATTCTTCGGCATAACTCAAAGCCATGAAACATTGCTGCAGGGTGAGACTTTGTTTCAGACCCATGAGAACTTGGAACACCTGGCCATGATGGAGCGGGTTCTTGGACCATTACCTTCTAACATGCTGCGACTTGCAGCGTAAGTCCCTGATATATTGATATATTTATAAGTGTTTAAAATTACTACAACCTGCATCGAGTAGCTGTAATCGACTGTTTGTCCCTATAATTTTCTTGCAGCCGAGATGCCGAGAGGTATGTTCGAAGGGGTCATTTGAATTGGCCCGAGGGTGCAACCTCAAGAGAGAGCATGAAAGCTGTGTTGAAACTTCCTCGGCTGCAGGTACTACCCTATTTAATACAGATTTATCTATCATTTAATTACCCGTTATTTGCTAATATAAAAGAGTTGCGAGGACAGTGTGTCGGTTTTTGTGCTTCATATCTCCCCTTGTGGTGAAGCCAAAAATTTTTGTGATGATTCGAGCTGTCTTATGATAGCTTTTCTTTGTAGAATCTGGTGATGCAGCACTCGGATCATTCAGCTGGGGACTTCATCGATCTTTTACAGGGGCTTCTGAGATACGATCCTGCAGACCGATTGGCAGCAAATGCAGCTCTCTTGCATCCTTTCTTCACAAGAAATCGCTAACTCATGTATCCAATTGAGAGAAGGCTTATGCTAACCTGCACTTTTTTGCATTTACAATGAATGGGCGGTCTCGTTTGTAAAGTTTTGTATAGCAGATATGATATTGTTCTCTGATGCGTTAATGATTTATTCTGGTAGCGCGTTTGTTCTCTATTGCGTTGATTGTTTAAATCTTGTGGTTATGTTGGCGCTGAATCTCTCAAGAAGTGCTTTTTACTAGGATGACAAGAAACTCGCGGAGATTTATCCCTTTGTGTGAAGGATGTCAAAGCAAATGGTTGTTATCCCTTTTTCTTTTTTTAATAAACACATTTGAGGAAATATTAATTAGATCAAATTTGATAATAATACTTTAAATATATACGCTAAACCTGTGAAGTGAATAATACCTTTATCACGGGCGATGAACCCAATAGAAACCGCATACGTCGACCTCAACACCTGTGATCGTCTCCTCATCCTCTACTCGTGAGCTTAACTAATGAGGGACCCAAAAGAGTTCATGGAACTTTGGTGCAATATTATTTGTACACTTATTCAGCCACACTCACCACCAATGCTGCAATATTATTTGTACACTTATTCAGCCACACTCACCACCAGTGCTGTGTTAATCCTCTAGACATGCACTGATCCCGAGAGTCCAACATAAATCTTCAAAGAAAAGAGAAGCCAATGTGACGGCACAGGAGAGAGAAAGTGGCACGTGGCTGTGATGGTGGGGGAGGGGTAGAGACCGAGATAAGAGGGAAATGGTCATCTTCCATGCATCAACTCAAACCACCATATCTTCACTCACCTTTCCATTCTTTGGATATTGCTGTTCCAAGAAAATAATAAAATTATATGATCTTTAAAAAAAAATTAAAATTACATATTCAATATATATATATATATATATATATATATATATATTCACAAAACAAATTAATTTCGCATTAAATCCTCATCAACAAACTATCATTTGACTATCGTAATAATTCTTAGTAATCATAGTCCCTAATGATTAATAAGCTATACTAAATTCATTGGGATAAATTCATCCTTTTATAGATTTTAAACCTATATATATAATATGCATTTTTTAATTTTTCCATTTAAGACAAACAAGTATGAAGTGGCCCCACAGGCCCCCGCACCACTCAGTGACCTCTCCGGTCTCCCTCCGGAGGCGGTTGCCTCCCATCGATTCTTTGGCCCCTTCGCCTATTTATCGCAGAGCATTAACCGGCGGAGAAGGAGAAGAAGCCATCAAGAAACAAGAAACGGAGAGAGAGATAGAGAGAGACTACGGTGGTAATGGAAGCAGCCAAAGTAACTACAAGGTTTCTCATATCAAGCCCTACTCCTAACCATAAGCCGCTTCTCCCCTCCACCGCACGCCTTCGTCGGCGGCCGCGGCCCCTCGCCTCGCGCTGCCTCCAGACCCCCGACCCCGCGCTCCCCTACTCCGCCGTCGCCTCCGGTCTCCCCCGGCACCGCCTCGGTCGCCTCGTGGACGGGTTCTTATTTTCTCATTATTTGCATGTTCTTGATCTTTGATTGTTTTTGTTTGATTGTCACTGTTTTTTCTCGTCTAGACACCTGTAGAGCTATTGGTGTACTTTATTCTACTGTAGCCTGAACTACTGTGGTCTTGAACTCTATTTGCTATGTCCACAATTATCAATCCATCAATTGCAGACGTAGTACCTAATATTAGTTTAGTGCACAAACTCTCTGCCAGACAGAGGACTTTGTGTATGTATATGCATACCTTGTGACGAACCATGCTGACAAATTGTGGATGTGCCACAGTAGTGAAGATGAATATTTCGTTATAAACAGATGTATGTATACTTCATCTTATGTTGGTGTCGTGCAGAAATAAGAATTCATGCATTACTCTTCTGTTCGACATGAACGGAAGTTTTGACAAGTTCTCATCATCCCATTATAGTGTAATTGAAGGCAATGTTTTATCTCCTGATGAGTCAAAAATTAAAGAACTGGTGAGTGTCCTATGAGAAAAGAAAATCGGTGTTGTTGCACATTTTTACGGGGATCCAGAGGTCCAAGGCATATTGACTGCTGCACAGAAGTTGTGGCCTCACATCCATATATCTGATTCCTCAGTAATGGCAGATAGGGCTGTTAAAATGGCAGAAGCTGGATGCAAATATATTGCAGTACTTGGTGTGGACTTCATGTCTGAAAATGTTGGTGCAATACTTGATCAGGCTGATTTTAAGAAGGTATGTGGTTTTCATTTGTTTTTATCAATGAACATTTTGCGTACTCATTCTTCTTGTTCTGTGTTCCCTTAAGATATTTACAAAAGTACAAGTTACTAGTTCATAGTTTTTCAGTAACAGTATATAAACGCAATCAACTGCTGGAACTAAGGTTTTGCTCCAAAGAACCCATCATTATAGTCAGATTATTTGCTTTAAGGTTTTGAACATTGATAGTGGTTGATTAGGTCTTCACAACTGAAGGTTATAATTATTTCTATTGACTTGGAAAACTTTCAAAACTTATATGATGTTGCAAACACTCACCAAGTATGAATCAAGGTTCTACATTTCGGGTACCAGATCCATACTGACTTGTAACTGGACCGGATCCATGTACTGTCACATGGTACCATAACACACTGCCGCAAGAGTACCACATGTGGACAGACTGCCCAAAATTGGACTGTTCATTTACCAGTCAATGGGTGGATTGATTTGTCAATTCCTGATAAGAGAAATACAAATTTGGTTTAGAACCTAGGGTGTAATCAAACCTATAATGAACTTAGATGGTCTGTGACAAGACCTATTTGGTGTCATGCCATCTTTCCTTAGAGCCTATTACTTAATTGTTGTCAGACAACTTGGAGATTGTCTCTTCAGAGCAGTTATCTTCTTTGTTTCTTTATTGGATTGTTGTTTGGTCATGATCCAGCAGATGCGTTTGTATTTACTATTTTGCCCAAGAGTTGCCTATGGACAAGAACTTTACCAGTTCTTGCATGGATCATAACTAGCCTGTCAGTCAGATAAAAGAGTTTCTGCACACCTTTGGCACTGCAAGATACCTATAGCAGCACCCAGTCAGACAGCTACAATATGCACTTGGTAGTTTGGCATGCCTCAGTACGACAGTTCAGGATTTTATCTTGTCACTGGGATACTAAATAGTTGTTTGTTGGCAGGCTCAGATGTATGGCTTCTTGATTTTAAAAGAACTATACTCATATGTTCTAAAGGCTCTAATGTTCTCTTTATAAAAACTATGTTTTGGTTTTATTCTAGCACAGTGGAATATATCTTCAGGTCTCTGAACTTTTCAAATTTTGTCTTGCTATGATGTTTGTCAATTATTATATACATTTAACACAATTCTTCATTTTATTTTCGCAGAGATGTCTCCATCATCATCTTATACTGCTCTGTGAATCTCCTACAACGGCGCAGTTCAGATGTTGCAACATGCATACATTTAAGTTTACATGTCAATCACTTATTGAGTCTCATCAGCCTCTTGTACTCTGCCTACATTCATGAAAGGGAAAATCAAATGCATTCTTTTTATAATTATTTTCATTGTGAATGTTAGACTGTTAAACTTTTTTGAGTTTAGATTTTATCCTAACTCGTTTTGAGATAATAATAATTAACAACGATCATGTTTGTTCTTTGCTTTTAGAAACAAGCATGAATGCATCTTGAAGTACATTTAACTGGTTTATCTTGCACAGTGGTATCGTTTGGAATACTCTTAACCACAGTAGGTTTCATGCAGGTTGGTGTGTACAGAATGTCCAATGAACTAATTGGTTGCTCCTTGGTGGATGCAGCAGGGAGTTTGACATATATGCAGTTTTGGAGGCAGCTTCAAATTCACCTCCTTCATTGCATGTGATCTACATAAATACTTCCTTGGAGACTAAGGCCTATGGACATGAACTGGTGCCTACAATCACTTGTACTTCATCTAATGTTGTGCAGACAGTTTTTCAGGTTGGTAATGCTCGTAAACTCTTTGCTCCCTTTTAGATTTTGCATTTCATATCTGGTAGTTGCATATTTTAGTGAAGCACATTGCATCAATTTGGATTACTAATCTCATATATTTGTAATTTGATTTTTCTCTAATAAAATATTTGCTAGGCATTTGCTCAAGTACAGGATTTAAATGTTTGGTATGGTCCTGATTCTTACATGGGTGCAAATATTGTGGAGTTGTTTCACCAAATGGCTGACATGACAGATGAAGAAATATCAGAATACATCCAGAGCATAACAGGAACTCCATAAGATCATTACTGAAGAGGCTGCACTACTACCAGGTTTGTTGACCGTTGCACTGTTCTTCCTTTCTTTAATCAGCATTTATTACACAGAAATGCTACTTTGATTTTTGGCTGTCATTCGCAATATTATTAGTTATAAGGTTTTATACATGTTCAGTTGGTTATAGAAATTATTTTGACCAACTTCTTATTGTAGCTTAATGTAATTATGTACTACTGAACACTTCTGGTATTGCTTGGTTATATCACAGAAAGAAAGCTAATAACACAGACATGTCTGAGGTGCTTTTTGATGCATTATCCTGAAGAAATTTTTAGAAATTTTACTTGAGTGTTTCAAATTATTGATAAGACATGCTAGAATGTGCCTTAAATTGCTTATGGGAAAGGAGACATGCAGTTGTGCTACAAATGAATTCTTTTTGTCAATTTAATGCACTGTATTTCTCATGGAGTTGAAGTTGTATCCACATTAGATTCTGAGTTATTATAATGAACGTGGGTTGACATGGGGCAGGGACAATTCACAGTGTAGGGATTTTAAAAGGCTTCAAATCTAACAATATATTAGACAGACCATGGTTTATATGGAAATTGAGTAGTTCTTTAGTTATTACCGACACTTGTGTTTAAATAAAAGTTATTGCAAATGCTTTCTCTAATAAAAATTAACAATATCTGGTAATTCCAGTGTGTTTGTCTGTTGCCTTTGCTGATCATGATACTCGTACAACTTTAACATACAGGATGGTAACTGCATTGTGCATGATATGTTTGGTCATGAAGTAGTGGAGAGAATAAAAGAGCTGTACTGTGATGCATTCTTAACAGCTCATTTTGAAGTTCCTGGTGAAATGTTTTCTTTGGCAATGGAAGCAAAAAGGAGAGGAATGGGAGTTGTAGGTTCCACCCAAAACATTTTGGATTTCATTAAAAACCAGGTACAGAAAGCTTTGGACAGGGACATCGATGATCACCTACAGTTTGTGTTAGGAACCGAATCTGGAATGTTGACTTCCATAGTTGCCGCAGTTCGTGGATTACTGGGTTCAAGGGAATCAAGATGTAAAACAATCTCCAGTCTTATCGGATTCAGTATCAAGGACATCAATGAATGGGTCTCGTGGTCTAAATTCTGCTATACCAAGTGATATCAAAGAACTTGCTGTTGTTCCCGGTGTCGCAAATGGTGAAGGTCGCTCTATTCATGGAGGTTGTACTTCCTGTCCATATATGAAGGTTAGTACCTATTTCTATGTATCTAATAATTGATGATTCTACAATAATCTTTAGACCACGGTGTGAAATCTTAGATATGTTTGTTGAAATATAAAAATGATCCGACTGAGGCATCTACTAATTGAAATCCTGCATTGTCATGAAAATGTATAGACTGCTCTGACCTGCTCTAAAATCTTCATATGTTGAGTGCAGATAAACTCACTAAAATCGTCGTTGAGAGTTTGCCAGCAACTTCCCAACAAAAACGGCACTCTTCGTGCCTATGAAGCTAACAGGTTTAATACAGTAACACTTGGTGGAAAACCGGTTGTAGATATTGGATGTGAGCCAATTCTACACGAGGCACTTTTAGATTAGTTATTGGTTATATATGTGCATCTTTTTATACTCTATCTCATTCCAACTTTTGATTTAGAGGTTTGTCAAGAATTTGTCTATGTTACCTTGTCTTCCTATTTTGGCTTTTGCCGTTGTATCATTACTCTTCAACTTGATGTTAGTCAACTGGAGATAATTTCTCTCTCTCTTTTTTTTTTCATCCAGGCAACAAGAAGGTTATGCAATCCATCATATCCTCCATAGACGAATACCAACAAGTTTTAACAAGGTTATGTAATCCATCCACAATTCACTGCTTAGTGCAGGTGTGCTCGATATGTTTGACTCGGTTATGCCAATTTGATAGTAATTATTTATATACTTGGGTGATTTGTTGTTGGGTCATGATGGTGCATCTCTTTCACACTTTATTCATTGCTTATATTGGGTATTGTTCATTCAAAAATGAAATAATGGCTTTAATTATTCGTCAAAGCTAGAAATAAAATTTAGAATTTGAACTCCAAGATGTTTCAATACACATTAATATTTAGTATGATAGATTATATTTCATGTAAACCAATTTTTTTTTGTTTTCCAAATTTAGTCCATTTTTAGATGGAAGATATGACGAGGTTTATAGGACCCAAAAAAAAAAAAGAAAAAGAAAAAGAAAGAGGTTGTGGATATAATCCCGTCTTCGTCAATTGCACTTTGGGTGTAAGTTGCGCTGCTACTTCGCCCGTCTTTGTTCTCCTCATAGTTTGCCCCGACCGGCCAAAACCACGTGGGATGAGAAAGTCTCTGGGCTAAGAAAGTGGGTACTTCCGTGACTCGCTAAAAATTTATGGCAGCTTCGTGACGAGGATAAGAACGCAGAGCATCTCCAAGAAACCGTTGTCTCCTCTTCCCAACCCCCATTCTCCCACCCCCACATCCTCTACATCGAACACCGCCGCGCAGCCGGCGATGTTGCCCTCCGCCATCGCTGCGGGGAACTCGCTCTTCTACTGCATCGATCCCCGCTTCCCTACACGTCTTCATCTCATTCATACTAATCCCGTTCTTCTGGGACTACACAACCCCTCGCCTTTTCGGCCCAAATCGACCACAAGCCGAGACGCTTCTCCGATCTTCAGAAACCACTCTTCTCTCCATCCCGTCGCCCTCACAGACTCGAACGACGCCGCGGAGTTGGTCCCCTCCTCCGCCGCGGCGGTGGCCGCTGCCATCCAGCGGGCCTCGCCGTCGTCGCCGGTGGTGTTCACCCAGCGGGTGGAGAAACAGGGGAAGGAAGGGCTTGTCCTGCCGAGCCCTGACTTCCAACGCCTCTGCCTCGAGCAACTCGATTTATTTCGCATGGTTGTGGATCCGGACGCCGTCTTGTCGGTCAGTCTGATTCTCTTCCGTGAATTGTCTCATGTGGTCGTGTTAAGGGATCCCAGTTTGCGTACCAACTGATGCCATCGCTTACTGTGGTCTATTCGACAAGCAGGAACATGATAATCTCTGAGTTGTTGCTGATTAGACCCGCTCATAGATGAGATTTTAATAGAAGTTACATACGTTGAGTAATTGTAGTTTAGTTGTTTGCTGTAATGTTCTTGTGAGTGTCGAATACGAGGTAAAGACTCAGAGCGTGATGACATGAGAAACAAAATGGCATCAGTTGGTGTAACAACCAAATTAGTATAAGACGAAAAACTTCATGAATTTCTGAAGCACACAGAGGTTTCTGGAAGTATTAGTACTTAACCACATCTTTTTTTTAAACAAAGCTTAATAAGGATGAGTTTCTCCTTGAATCCTTTGATTCTTTGAGACCAGTCAAAAATATAAGCATCTTTGCCTGTAAGCATCTTTGCCTGTGAATGAGGTTAGCAAAATATTTAAGCTTGCAAGTATTTGATGGCTTAACATGCACTGAAGACTTTTTTGCTTTTTGTGGATTGGCCTTGGAACTCTTGGGTCTTCCTAATATACGAGACCCACTTATATTGATTAAGATGTACTGGTGACGGCTGTAGGTACCAGCCAATTATATCTAACTCTGCTAGTGACCATCTTGTTTGTATTAGATCCTGAGTAGAGGCAAATGATACTTAGGTCATCATAACTACATGAAAACCTAGAGTTAGAAGTCCACAGCAGAGAATCCTCAATTTACATTCTAATTGCTTCCTTCCTATTAAGCCAGTGGTTTTTTTCAAGAAGTTGTGAGTAAAATTATCTAAAATCTAATGCTTATTTTCCTTTGTCGTTGAAGATGGAGGTACTTTTCAGACATCAATATATTTCAGAAGCACGAATTATTTCTACATTCTATTTAATGAACATTCTGTTGATACTTTGCCTTAGACAATAACAGGGACTAAAAGTTTAGAAATTATAGATTTATTTGTAAAATTGGAAACATTAACCAAAGAAATATCTTTAAAGATAGCAAATTAGGTAAGAGTGTAGATACGATTGTTACCCTATTAGGGTGTGGAAGAGTTTAGGAGATCAAAAGGTATATTGTTGAACTAGAAGTTTAGAAATTATAGATTTATTTGTATAATTAGAAACATTAACTGAAGAAAATTTTAAAGTTAGCAAATTAGGTAAGAGCATAAATATGATGATATCCCTATTAGGATGTGGAATAGTTTAGGAGATCAAAAGGTACATTGTTGACTAATTTTTTTAACAAAAAATTGAGGATAAAAAGGGTGTATAATGTATTGAGAAAGAGCTTTTTATTACTAATTTACATGAACAGGAGAGATTTTAAACTCCTCTAACCATAGAGAGATCAAACTATTGTGTCATATCATGGAACTCTTAAAAAGGGTGATTCAGTAAAAATAAGATGTGAATGGCTATTTTTAGAATTAATTTGATTTTATGCGCGGAAGATCAATCTTGAATGCTATTTGTTTATTGTGACAACTAAAACTATATAGAGAGAAGAAAGATTTTTACATGGTTTTCATTGACTCAAAAACAAAGTATGATCGACTTTCTAGAGATTTGTGATGACACATTTTAGAAAAGAGAGGATTAAACAATAATTATTTTGATTTGATAAAATATATGTACGTCACTACGATTGTTTATAAAGTAGATCAGTAGCAAGAAGTATTGATGAAGACATTGTTCATTGAGTAAAGGTGGGGTGATTAAAGTGGAAGAGGGACCTTGGCACTTTAGAACTATAACAAGATGGTTGAGTTCTCTTAATTTAACTAGAGATATTGCATTGCTTAGAGCTCAATGACAGGAAAAGATACATTGTCCCACTCCAAGTAGTTGGAACATTGCAGCTTGTTGTTGTTGTAGTTGTTGTTATATTAGAAACCCTATTTTATTCCCCAATGTAATGTCTCTTCTTTTCTATCAGAGGCCTTAAAAAATTGTTAGCTTATGCATAAAATCTCACCATGTTTATGTTTCTTTATGCCAACTGTCTAAGGTAGTGCTTACGTTCATTCCATACTCATTTCCTGCTATTGTTATTATTCTTTTAATCTATGCTACGTATAATTGTTATGAACTCACATGATAGGTCATTAGTCGTCCACCATGATGTTTTCCTCCAGGATTAGTTCCATGAGCTATGGTCCTCTTTGACAAATAGAGCCTTAGTTTTATCTATAGTTGATTCTAGACTAAAAATTTAGGCTGTTGTGCAAGCTTCTTCATTGGATTGTCTACCTTTGACATGCTTCCGTATTGAGCAATCTATCTTGTTAGATTATCTTTTTGAAACATACTCATAATTGCTTCATGCATTATGTTCAAATAACAATATTTAAGTTGTATAAAGCCCTTTCTTTGGTTTCTATGCCCTCTTTCACTCTGCCTGCAAATTCTTGCATTCAATCTCCATGAGAAATTCTTGTTATAGTTTTTAGTTCACACTTCTTTGTCCAAAGGACACCCTGGTAACAGCTCGCTTTGTTGGTTATGTGGTCTTCATGATATTTTCCTTCATGTTAACGTGCCCTTAAATATCTGTGCAGGTGTATGTCAGGCCAGCTGGCAGTTACATAATGGACCAGTTAGAATTACGGCGAGTTGTTTTTTATCCAGAAACTGATGTTTCTGAAAGTGCAGACTGTGTGATATTAGTTGGTAATTTTTCTATACCATCAGGTTTACGTGCAGCTGAAGCTGCTCTCTCGAAACAGAAAGTATGTCACCTGACCTTATTTCTGGTATATATTATGACAATTGGTTCATTTATAATCTGCTAATAGATTCATAGTAATTGAGTTGTAGGTGGAAGTGATATCTGGGACTGGAGCTCTTGTTCTGCCAATGGTTAAGCATCCATTTGTTGTAGGATTTCTAGTTGCAGAACTACCAAAGAAGGATTTGGATTCATGTGAGAATGTGGATAGTGGTGAACTGTGTGTGCCCTTTTGCTCACCTAAAGATGATTCTTTAGGTGGAGCACCATATTCTAGTAAGAAACCCTGGGAAATTGAGGCTTTCAGTGAAGATTTGATGAAAGCTTATGGCCAATTCACAACTGAACAAAGATCAAGAGCTATTGTGATTTCTCGATCTTTGGCCACAGCATATGTCATGGATCAGGTAGCTTCTGATCTTATGCTTTTCCTTTATGCATGGAGTTTAGGTTGACAATAACAGCAACAACCATGATTTCCGAACAATTTGGGAACCATTACATGGATCCTTTCCTGCCACTGAGCTCTATTCAGAAAATTTTACTAGGAAACTAAGAGTCACCAGCCTCTCACCTTTGGGCTTTTTTTCTCTTGAATCCAGATGAGAGAAATGAGCCTCTCATTTTACAAGTGAGATATTTCAGATATTGTTGTCCTCTCTCCATTCAGTTGGATCTTATTAAGAATCCTTTGACTTGTCTCTTGCTACCTTTGTCATCCATCATTTATCACCATTCTACACCACACCTAGCTTTAGGCTTTATTCCTCACATTTCCATCTGATATTCAATTTTGTTGCTCTTTTGGCATATGGCTACACTTGAGAATTGGTAGATTTTATTCTTTTTCCTCTTTTTCTGATACCACTAAAGCTGTAGTGGAACCTTTCTATGTTTGCTTATGCTCCGGACTTTGGATCTTGAAGATGGCTGGTTTTAGTGAAATTATTTGCTTATTCTATCAGTGTATTAGACCTTTCAAATTGAGCATCATCTTCCTACATATCATAATCATTCAGTAGTAGACCAACCCTAGTGGCAAAAGCAGTTCAGCCAGAACAGCTCTTGGCAGCGTACTCATTGAGCAATAAAGTCAGTTTGTAGTAATTCAATTAATTATTTTTTTTCGTATCTTGCATATAATAAGTGAATAATGTGTTCCTTTTTTAAGAGTCTGATTCTTGCTTCATTCATTAGTCTTTCTTTATTTACTTATATATCTGTTTTTGATTCTTTTGACACCTCCAGAAAGCAATGCTTCTTCAACAGTCTTCTTGGCAAAATAGTGTCAGAATGAATCATCTGATTGAACAAGTAAGTCTTTCCAGATTGTGTAGTAGGTGCATTGCTTTACTCCTTGTTTAATATAATTAATTGTGACAGATACGTGCACCTCTTTCTAGCATTAGAGCTCTGACAAAAATGTTATCTGTTCATGTCAAGAGAAGTGAGGTTTGTCTTTTGTACTTGAAACTGTTTACATCTGGGAAACCTTTTGCCATCTTGGAATTTGATATTTATATTCCTTGGCAGATTTCATATGATATCATCGAAGACTTACTTATACAGGGTGAACATATGAAAGATGCCTTACAGCAGCTTCAAGATTCTGCCTATCTCACCAAGGTGTTAATTTCATTACCAAAGCCACAAAATGATTCACCTATGGTATTATATGAATAGAAATATTTAAAGTGGATAAAAAGCCCACATGTTTGTCATGACAAGTTCGTTTGAGTATAACTACATAAAAAAATTGGTGCTTTTATTCTGGAATTTCAATGGGCATTAGTTGCTGCCACAAATCCCAACAACATTTTTTCTTTTTTTAATCTACACATTATTAACAGCTCCAATTCTTTGGTTAGGCCTGTGGACCATGGGGATTGTGTTGTCATTGTGTATGACCTGTAACCCCTGATGTCTTTTGCTTTTAGACTTGAGTTCATTTGGCAGAAAGGTCGTTTAATAGCTAAGACATTCTTGCATGGCTTTGTTGATATCAGCTTAGATTGCATATGTTGATCATTGGTTGAGAATTTGTGGTGGGCAAGTTTAAGGTACCACTTCTACACGGTAAGAAATGGTTCTAATAGCCCTTGTTTGGATTTTTCCCAGGTTAATATAGTACGATACAATGAAGAAACAATAAAGAAGATGCATGATCCTAAGTTCAGCCACCAAGAATTGTCGAGGTCACTGCCATCTGAGAATGATTCAAGCGAGAACAAAACATATAGTATGCAGAAGATGGAACCTGTGCTACCACTAAGCTCTGGAAAAAAAGACCTAGCAATGCCGATGCCACCTCTTTGGCTTGTGCCACTAAAACAAAACATTACCAGGTAATCTATTGCATTAAATTCCGAAAGAGAACTTTTCATTCTCTGACATTTTTTTGTGATCTGTAAAAACAGCCATTCCATTTGTTTAATTTAAGTGACCTGTGATAAAGAAAAAAAGTTAGCCAACCAGAGGAACACTTTAAATATGAGTTTTTCCTCACTAAAGAAATTTACATGGAATGTGTACAATTTCTGAGTTCAAGTTCTAAGTTTACCTTTGTCGATCAGGTTAGCCTTTTTGCAAAGTTAATTTACTTATCATGGCAAAGTCTCTTATTATACTTGCTAGTTGCAAAGCATTCTCCCATTATTCAAGTATTCCTCTTTGAGATAAAATTGTCTTGTTTATATTCTGGCATATTTTAGTATCTCAAACTATTAAAAACCTTTTATCAAATAAGTTAAAGAGTAAACATCATACTGTTGGAGTTTAATGATCATGTAAAATATAGTAAGATAACATAAATTTTAATTTACAGAAAAAAAGTATCTATTAGCAGTTTCTGTAACCATTTCCCAGAAGTTCTGATAAAACAAGATTGCTTATCAGCCATTTATTGTTAACTGGTTATCAACAATGTATAGAGACAAAGCCACAGAGAGAAATGATTATACAACAATTTTGAGAACACAATTTTAGCATAGAACAGACTGGACTGATACTGATCCTTGATATTTTTGAGACATGCTGCTCCTTGAACTTGATATCATAGTTTTCACAGTAGTTTGAGGGAGCTTGAACTGGTTGCTTTTGAGATGAAAACAGCCATAGTAGTATATCTCCATCTAGTATCTTTTCCAAACCTTAGAGTGACTTGGAGGGTTACTCGTTGCATTAGCTTGGCACTTCTCCGTCAAAGACACTTTTTGTTAGAAGCAAATATCGGAAAAAATTCTTCATATGCCCCAAAGGAGTTTATTGTTTGATATGATGAAAGAGGCAACACAAAGAAGTTTGGAAAGACAACAGTTTTCATTTATCCTTCTGTATGTTTGGAGTGCTGGAAATTTGGAAGTTGTTCGTTACCAAACATGTGTTGAAAGGTTTAACAGGTGGAAGAGATGGAAAACTTTACTTTACAATTCAGAGAAAAAAATAAAGAAAAGTCAGATCATTTTTTAAGAAACCTGTTAAATTTCCATATTTCCTCCCAGCCATAGATGATAAAGAGATTTTTCCAAAGGAACACATGACCTTTTATGTGCAAACTTGCTTATTCCTAGTAAAAACTGGAGAGCAAGATCTTGCCTTTATCTAATCACCTACGATTAGATTGTATCAACCTGTTAAATCTTAATGACTAAAATTGTCAAGAACAGATTTGTTTTGTATTTTAAGTTCATGACACTAAAATTAGTCTTGACAAAATTCTCTTACTACAGCTGAATTAAATGAACAGAAGTTATATGGCCTAATTCCTTGTGAGGAACATACTATGGTTGTGGAGCATTCAGAATCTGTGGTTTTCCTTGTATATCAGTAATGTTTCTTAAGAATCTACTGTTTATGTGGGTGTCCTGTGCATCTATAAAGGACTTTTTGAGACTTCTACTATTTTTCCTTTACAGTTAGAAGACTTATGTTTGTATTCTAAATAGAACTTGCTGGTCTATTTGATGTCATATATTGTGAAGTATGAACTTCACTAGATTGCCTGGAACTCTGGATGACATTTGTCTCTGATGTTTATGTCAGGCAGACCATGTGTTGTTTCTGATATATTGAAAGATCTGGTTGGAGCTGCTCTCCCTCTCGCCGACAATCAACAACGATCACTGGAACTTAATGAACTGTCACAGTTTCTCCAGGTTGGTGTCGAAGAATCTTCTCTGCGACAGGCACTTAGTAATCTGATAGAGGGGGCTTTGTTGCGCACATGCATAGGCGGGAAAGTTCAAATATATGCAACTGGAGCACCTGCTGGTGGTGCCCTGGTCATAATTGATGATGACGGGCCTGACATGCATTACATGGTAATTATCAACTTGCTTATTCAATTCTTCTTCCATTGGAGCACTTTGAATGGTTCCTTTTTGTGCATCAGAGGATTTCATGTACAGATAAACTGTTAGTTTATAAACCAGCAATAGATGTCTGTATGTGACTTTTATGTCTCTGACATAGCAGAGACCAAATCATATGCATTTAGGCATTGATGAATTAGTATAAAGAGTTAATATTCAGTCATGAATGGTATCATGTTGTTGTTTGATAGAATGAGTTTTATTTATTATGTGAAAATATTTTGTTTGGCTGGGTTGCCAGTCACAATACATGGCCTGTGAGATATTTGCTATTGCAATTTGGTCTTCCATAATAAATCATTTTCCAAAAAATAAATATTTTTTTATTTATATCAGAGACCAAATTATGCTTTTAGGCATTGATGGATTAGTATAAAGAGTTAATATTCAGTCTTGAATGGTATCATATTTTTGTTTGATAGAATGAGTTTTATCTGTGTGAAAATATATTGTTTGGCTGCGCTGCCAATCACATTACATGGGCTGTGAGATATTTGCTATTGCAATTTGGTCTTCCACACAAATAATTTTCCAAAAACTATTTCTTGTTTATAGCATGCATTGCTTCTTACTATGCTTGTGTTCCTATCATCCAAAACTTGTGGCATGAGAAGGCTTATTCATCTGTAGAGACTATTCATATTCATGTCTAGTTGCTATCTTATTCAATACAAATGTATGTTTACCCGTCTGATTATAATTGAGTTGATTCTGTTCGCATCTGGCACCTACATATAATCTAAAACTTGATCAGCTCATCATATCCTCACCGCTACATTTCTTGCAGACTCAAATGCGCTCTCTCACACCATTTGGAGTGGATCTCTTTGCAGATGGCATGGTGGAAGACAACATGACATGGAATTTTGTTGCAGGGCTGACCATTGCTCGTGAGATCCTAGAGAGCTATGGGTGTGTCATCCGTGTCATTTCGCCCCGGGCCTTGGATGCTGCCTTTGGTACCGGGGGGACGCGTATTGAACTCTGGTTCCCTGCTCTGCCGTCTGATTCATCCGATGCAGCCGGAGAGGTGTAGCAAATTCCGGTACCCCATTGTTCATGCCATCTTGGTTTTTCCAAGAGCAAGGGTCGTAGAATTGGTTTCATGAGAACACGTTGGTTAGTGTTGCTGATAACTCACTTTCTTGTATCTTGTTTTTCTACTTGCTCATCATTGATATGAGATGCACGATTACAAACGGTGAATAGACTCGACATAAAAAAAAAGGACTTGTTTGAGATAGTGACTCCCCAATTCCTAAACAATGTAGGAGTAAAATTGAATCCACGACACAAGTTAGCCTGGTATTTTACACATATGAATAGGTTTTTTCTATAAAGGAAAATGGATAGGTTGTTTTGATGTCAATTAAATTTGCATATTTGAATATTTCAAGTCACGCAGTCATTGAACAATGACAACTTTGTTAGGTCCATTTGTTTAAATAGTTTGTGGAAATTCGCCGATGTTTATTATGATGTCATATTAGCTACCTATCAATCTGGGTCAACATACAAATGTCTCTTTGAGGATTAAAGTACATTCAAATATATTTCTCTACATCTATCTTAGTGTTGGACCAATAGTTTGTCTTAAATTCTCCATTCGATAAACATAAACTCTATTCCCTTTCAGACAGACAAATCCCTCGTAGATCCAAAATCATCGTGTCGTGTCCTATTTGATTAATTTCCTCATGGTTACTACTTGGGGATCATTGTACAGTCCATCTTTGATCCTTGAAAGATAATTGGAGTGCAACTGATTTGTTTAGCCTTCGCATTTCAACTGCATGACATTGGTTAGTTCCACTTTTCGGCTCAATGTATCGATTATGACATTTGCTTGTCATTGTGCTTGCTTTAGAGAGAGTTTTTTTTGAATTTAGAAGTAACTCAATACAATGTTGTTTGTTCTTAGTACAAATCATGATCCGAGAAGGTAGTGTCGCCAAACTTATAAATAGTGGACCACTGCTGTCATCTTCTTCTTGTGCACCGCAGTGATTTAAAAAGACGCAAGGGCGAGGCGAGGAGAGGCCCGAGCACCTCACTTCATTTCAAAGCGATGCACTTCAAAGAGGCCTCGCCTCGACCCTCGCCCGAGCCGAGGCATCGGGCGCTTCGGGCGAGTGCATGGGTTAAACCAGGCGACTGAACCAACGTTTGAGGTTTGGTTCGGTCTCCGGTGCTTTAGTTGGTTCAATCGAACCAACTAAAGCATCGATATCAATGTGACTTCCCCAACCCATACCCTGCTCGTCATTCACGCTACTGCCACCGCTGCTCGTTGCTACTGCTGTCGCTCCTGTTGTCGCTATTACCGTTGCCACTATCTCCGCTCGCCGCTTCCGCTCTCGCTCCCGCTGTTGCTGCCGTTGCTCGCTGCTACCATTGCCACTATCTCCGCTCGTCGCTCTCGCTCCCGCTGCTCGCTGCTGCAGGTGTCACTATCGTCGCTTACCGCTCCCACTGTTGCTGCTGCTGCTCGCTGTTGCCACTACCACTATCGTCACTCGTAGCTGCCACTCCCTCTCTTCTCAATCAACACCCTCGGTCTTCCGACTCTTCCCTTACACTCTTCTCCTCTTTCGATAATATACTGTTAACTATATACTAATAATAGTATTTATATTTATTAGATTAATTTAATAGTATATTTTTATTTAAAAATTTAAATAATTATATTTATTAATTATATTATATATTTTTATATTTTAGCGCCTCACTTCGCTCGGGCGAGCGCCTAGCGCCTCGGGCATTTTTGGACCGTAGCGTCTTTTGGCGCCTAGCGCTTTTTAAATCACTGGTGCACCGTATACCGTCATTCGATTTCGTTGAGCTAGCAGCTCTCATGGGCAATCAGGTGACCCTCCTGCATAAGTACTCCATCAATAACGAAGTCTGAAGCATCCGTAGGGACTTCGAAAGGCTTCTCATAGTTTGATAATTTGAGTATCGGCTCTTCCAACACATCAACTTTTAGATCTTGGAATGCACTTTGTATTTATCTTACCATCGCCAAGGCTGCTCCTTCAGCAACTTCGTCAGTGGAGCTACATGCTTTGAATACCCAGCTATAAAATACCGATAATAGTTGACAAAATCAAAGAATGATCTTAGCTTCGGTATCTTCTTTGGTGTTCATCACTCCACCACAACTTGTACCTTTGATTTATTTATCCGAATGGAACCTTCATAGATTCAGTACCCTAAGAACAAAATCTCTGTTTGAGCAAAGTAATATTTCTCCCTTTTATGAACAAAGTGTTCTCCCTGAGAACCTTGAAAATTTTTCGAATGTACTCGATATGCTCCTCAAGCGTTTGGTTATAAATGACAATATTATCCGAGTAGACAACCACAAACTTATTCATATACTCCTTGAATAGTTGATTCATGATAGTGTAGAATGTGGCCAAAGTGTTGATTAAGTCGAAAGGCATCACCAAGAACTCAAACGCTCCATACCTAGTTACACAGGTAATCTTCACTTCATTGCCTTCAGTAATGTGCACTTATCAATAGCTCGATTAAAGGTCGAGTTTAGAGAAATATTTTGCTTTGCCTAATTGGTCGAACAAGTACACGATGAGCGAGATTGAATACTTATTCTTCACCATCACCTTGTTTAGGGCTTGATTGTTAATGCATAATTAGAAGCTCTCATCTTGTTTCTTTTGGAAGAAGGATTGGAGCTCCAAATGATGCTTTAAAATTGCAAATGAGACCATCGTTTAGTAGTTAATTTAATTGCTTCTTGAGCTTTACCCAACTCTGGAGGGGCCTTACGATATGATGGTCTCACTAGAGGCTTCACTTCGGGCTCCAACTTGATGTAATGATTTATACCTCTGTGTGGCAGTAGAGTTTTCGGCAACTCGAATGACATGACGTTTATGAATTCATTCAAAACATTCGTCGCCATAACAAGTTCAATGATGGCCTCCACGTTAAGTGGCTCCAGCTTTACGACCACAAAAGTTAATTCACCTATCTGTACCCCCTTCTTCAATTGTAATGCCGATAATTATTATGGGTCCTTAGTTCCTCCTCCATAAACTAAAATCACGCAAGGGTTGTAAGGCATAGGGAGTTTAGGAACGACATTGGCACCAACTTCGCCATGTGCATGAACTCCATTCTGAGACTCACATTGGCACCAACTCGCTATGTGCAATGGCACCACCATCATATTTGTGCTTCCAATCCATATCTTGATCTTGATAGATACCCCTTTTGTCAGCCCGAAAATCTGTTTAACCTTCGAGATCACAACCTTCATCCAACTCGGGCTCTTCTCTAGGTTCAGCCCAAGTTGCCTTGCTTCTCAATTGATAATGAAATTATGGGTAGCGCTCATGTCCACCATCGCACGATTATTTAGCCATTTAGCTTAATGTCCATAACATCAGCTCACTACTCTCTGCTTTCTGTGGCTTCATATTCATGTTTTCCCTCACTTGATATTGTAACGTATTCAACAAACGCATTGCTCCCAACCGAGATCCTTACAACTCCTTATTGTCGTTGCTAAATTCTAAACTACTTGAACTAAAGGCAACGATCGATCTTGGGGGGTGGATTAATACTTTCAAGGTATTAAGTGCTTACTTTTGTAGGCACTCCCTCATCATGTGCGATCCTCTACACAAGAAGCATTCGTCAGGTTTTGGGGTTTTGTCTTTTGAGCTTAGCTCTTTGTGGAAACTCCTTTTCTTTTGTTCACCCTTGGACTCCTTCCGTCGAAAATATTTGGTGAGCGATTTCCTAAGATTGTTTCTTCTTCCCCAAATCCTCTGAGGAAACAAAGTCAGTAAGCCTTTTTGCAGCTGCAATTGTCCCGATCACATTGGTAATATTTCTTCGATGCAATTTCTATTGTGCCCACGACTTCAGACCATCGAGGAAGCTGAACAGCTTGTCCTTCTAGGACATCTCTTGTATATATAACATCAATGTAAAACATTGCTTCACATAGTCCCGAATTTAAGTATTTGGGTAGAGTTGTCTCAGCTTCCTTCTTACGATGAACTCTGTGTTCTCGGGTAGAAACTAAGTTCTCAACTGTCACTTCAAGTCCTCCTTTATGTTCACTCGACACCAACCTTGTTGAATCTCTTCCCATTATATTTGTCACCAAAGTTTTGCGTTCTCATCTAGATACATATTGCTATTAAAACTTTGACTTCTTTAGAATTGGGCCTCGTAGCTCTGAATTATTGTTCCATGTCAAACAGAAAATTCTCAAGCTCCTTCGCATCCCTGGCACCACCATAGCAACGCGACTCAAGTGCCCTTAAGTTCTATGGTAGAACAATGCAGGTGTTGCTCCCTCTCACATTAAGAGCCCTTATGAGCAATATAACCCTGGACGTGAGTTCCGCCACGACTTTGTTTAGATATTATATGGATTTTTTGGTGTCTTCCATCAATCGATTAACTAGGGACTCAACCTTATCAATTATGAGATTCAACTTCTTTTTACAAGTTCTCTACCCCAAGAAGCCTTCGTTGGCTTTGATAAAGTTCCTCTAAACTTGCTTCAAAAACGTCAAGGCGGGTTTCCGTATATGTAAGCCTCTCCTTATGACTTTTTTTCTTGGTTGGTGCTCTAGATTATGCCTCCTTCGCTTATAGAGAATAGTCGACTTCTCGCTCGTCTTATTCACTGTCACACTCCTCTTAAGCGACTCCAATAGTTTGAGAGTGAGTTTGCACCTACAGCCTACCTATAACTGCTTGGGGTAATGGTTTGGCTTATCCCATCTTGCTCGATTCGCCACGATGCTTCACTATGACGAGATTATAAATTTTTTCATGGTTTACTCTAATTACTTACTTGCTCTAATATCATAATGTCATGAATTTAACTGAAATTGCTGAAGTCGTGAGACACTCATATGTTAATATCACAAACTTAATTGAAATTACTTAAGTCATAAAGCACTCTTATGCCAATATCATGGACTTAGCTAGAATTACCTAAATCATGAAACACTCTTGTACCAATATGTCAAACTTAGTTGGGATTACCTAAGTCATAAAGCTCCTTATATTATTTGTTCGCAAAGGATCAACTTAATTACAATCACGTTTAGATCCTATAAGACATATAAAAAAATAAATTAATTAGTTCAAAAATAAATTATGAACAAAATATCAATATCTCGTAAAAAGAACATCTTTGCAAACAATTCAACCACTCGATGTGTAAGAGAGAAAGAAAGAGAATAAATAAATAAAAATTTTAGAAGGTAAATGAATAATTATAAGTTCGAAAATGACTGTTCACCATGTGTTGGGTGCAATAGTAAGTTTTCGTATACTTAACATGCTAACTTGTAAAATCCAATCGCTAGATATCACTCGGGAGACTTCCAAGACACTAAGATGACCAACGTTTTGTATCATAACATAACCTTCAAAAAATAAATAAGTTTTACAAGAGTGATCGCTATGCAGCACTATAATATATATATATCCTCATTTTTATCATTTTTATACACATTAATATTCTCTTGTCGAACATTTGACCTATTAATAAAGGGATAATTACCTAATTCTACCTAGATCTCTATTTCTATTCTTGCTTAATTCTCGTAAATTAAAATCCAGCAAATAAATAAAATAAAAATCTCCTGACTAAAACCCTAAAACACAATCCTCACTCTCGTTCTGGCAAACACTTCGTCTTCCCAACCGATACACCACGTCGAGTGGCCGAGGCCAAACTCCAACGAACGAACACGATGCTCTGCTCTTCATTTCGCCTCCGTCTCCCCTCCCTAACCTCCTCCTGCTCCTCGCTCCTCCGCTTTAGAACCAGCCCTACCCAACCTCCGCTTCCGTCCCTTTTCTTCACCTACGCCACCACCACCGCCTCCCCTGTCTCCGACGACGACGACGTCGCCGCCGCCGCCGACCACCTCCCCTTCCCCTCCCAGGAGTCCGTCCTCTACGTCCTCAAGAAGTTCGACAAGAAGCCGCAGCAGGCCCTGTCCTTTTTCCGCCGCGTCACAGCTCGGCCCGGCTTTGCCCCCGGCCCCCCAGCCTACAACCTCATGCTCCGCATCCTCGGCCGCCCCGATCACCTCACCGACTTCTGGGCTTTCCTCAGGTCCATGCACGAAGTCGGCCACAACGTCGACCAAGGCACCTACCTCACCCTCCTCTCCGACTTCAAAAGGCACAAGCTGGCCGCCGAGTCCGCCGCGCTCGCCCAGTTCTACTCCAGGACTGCCCAGCATGCCACCTCTGCGGCGGCCGTCTCCGCCGCGGCGAGAACCATTCTCGACTCCGACGACTGGAACGAAGGCGTGGAGAAGAAATTGGAGCTCCCGTTGACGGAGGTCGCGGTGGCTGGAGTCCTCCGGGAGGTCCGCGCGCGCCCGGCGCAGGCCCTGGCGTTCTTCCGGTGGGCCGGAGGGAGGTCGGGGTACGACCACGGGTCCGTCGCGTACAACGCCCTGGCCCGTGTTCTCGCCCAGGAGGACTCGATGGGGCAGTTCTGGGACTTGATTCAGGAGATGAAGGAGAAGGGTCACGAGATGGACATCGACACCTACATCAAAGTGTCGAGGCATCTCCTCAAGAGCAGAATGATGAAGGAAGCCGTGGAGCTATACGAGCTTATGATGGACGGGCCGTACAAGCCGGCGATCCAGGACTGCGGCATGCTCCTGAGGCAGATCGCGCTGTACGACGCTCCGGATCTCGATTTGGTGTTCAGGGTCGTGAGGAAGTACGAGGCGGCCGGGTACTCCTTGTCCAAGGTGGTCTATGATGGGATCCATCGGTCCCTCACCAGCAACGGCAAGTTTGACGAGGCCGAAGAGATCCTGAAGAAGATGAGGCTCGAAGGCTATGAGCCGGATAACATCACTTACAGCCAGTTGGTGTATGGCCTCTGTAAGGCCAAGAGATTGGACGACGCCTGCAAGGTGTTCGATGAAATGGAAGCGGCCGGTTGTACCCCTGATCTCAAGACCTGGACAGTTCTGATACAAGGGCACTGCACCGCAGGGGAGGTCGATAAAGCCCTGGAGTTGTTGACGAAGATGATCGAGAAAAACTGTGAGGCAGATGGGGATGTTTTGGATGTCTTGGTGAAAGGCCTGTGCAGCAATAACAGGGCGGATGCCGGCTGTACACTGTTCCATGAGATGGTGGAGAAGGTGCATGTCAAGCCATGGCAAGCGACCTACAAGCATTTGATTCAAGAATTGCTGAAATCAGGAATGCTGGAAGAGGCATTGAAGCTTCTTAGTTCCATGAAGATCCATAAATTTCCACCTTATGCAGATCCTTTCCCTTCCTACATAGCCAAGTGTGGGACAACTGTGGATGCTGAAGAGTTCTTGAAAGCCTTGACGGTGAACAACTATCCATCGCCTGCAGCTTACTTGCATGTGTTCCAGTCCCTCTTCAAAGAAGGTAGGTACTCTGAGGCTCAAGATCTACTATACAAATGCCCTCATCATATTCGCAAGAATGTGGACATCTCCAAACTCTTTGGTTCAATTAAATCTGAGAAAGCTTCTTAATTCCAGTGCTCCCAGCGCACAACATGCCCTTGTTGTGATCAATGTAGCCATTGCATTGTCTTTATCCTCTATGATCTATGTGTACTTATTAGGGAGGCTTCATTCTCAAGGTCATCAAACACCTTCATGCAATGGTGTCAGTAGCTGCTTGTTGTTTTGTCTGTTTTGGTTTCTTTCTTTCCTATTTTTTCTCCAACAATTTACTTACTTCTCTGAGCTTTTCTTTCCAAGAATGATGCACTTCTTGAAGATATTTTTTATGTTGAGGGATCTGAAGTGAATTTGAGTTGATGTAAAATGTTTACTACCAGAACAAAATAATGTGTTAAAAAATTGTTCTGCTTAGGAAGTCAAGAGTCTTAAGACATACAAAGCAGTCAAGTTTCAAGTGTTGTAATAAACTTTTGATAATTTGTTAAGCAATAGATCCTCAAAATTATTAGTTTGTTTTCATAAGTAAATTTTTGCCTCAAGATAGTTTACTAGATTCATTGGGTGTTGGAAACTTGTACCTTTTTTGTTTATGATGATACCCACTCACCCAAACACTTGAAAGATAATTTAGTTGGCTGAAAGAAAAAGATACCTAAGTGCAGTTTATAATCATGCGACCAGAGATCAGTACTAAGATTCCTAGCACTTAGGTTGGTAATCTATAAGAAAAAATTGTAAAAACTGTTCATCTTAATAGCAGAAATGATCTGTTGCAAGACAGAACAAAATAAAGCCTTCTAAATACTTCCTGGACAAACAAGGGCGTTGTTTATGACCAGTGTGTAGTTGAAATCATGTTACCAGAACCAAATTCAAGATATTTATGTTAGATGTCAGCTAAGAGACCAAAGGCACCCAAGGGTTCATAACAGTAAACAGAGGTAAACCCAACTTTACCTAAAGACCCAACAAGTAAAGGGCAGACCAATAGTTTTAAACCTAGCTGGTACCAGATCAAGAAAAGTATTCCATACTTCAAAGTGTGATTATAAATTTGCAATTAATGTGCCTCGCTTGGCCAAACAGAAAGCCTGATCCCATAACTTTTGATTCCACTATTCCAAAATTGATCACCATATAACTCAAACTAATGAAAATAACCTAATGAAAATCTCATAACAATATGCATGGTATTACGTAAATTGAAGTTGAGAAAAATACCTGAAGATATGTAACGATGCCAGCTTACATAAGCTCTTGTAGGCATGACCTCAATATTTCAAGTCGTCCTTCGAGTGTCGGGGTTCTCACATGACCCTTGGATGTCTCCTTAGACAACAAAAGCAATATGTGCAACCTAAACGAAAGTTGAGCTTGTATATTTTGATCACAGAAGCCACCATATATTTCACATTGAACCAAAACATTGAAGAGAAGCCCAATTTAAACCATAGTGAGCACAACTTGAGCTAGCAAAAGTGAAAAATAGCAATAAGAGAAGGATGAATTATTTATCTTAGCACGAGGTAACTGATATGTGACATTGTCAAGTTAGATAGTGACAAACTCTCACTACCTAGCTGATTATGCAATTGATTTCTCCATTGTCAAGCATAAATCAGCAAAAACTTTTCCCTAATAATTAACGACACATTGTCATTCATTACCCTGACGTTAAAATTAATAAGATTCCTGTCTTATCTATTGGCTTCCATAATTAATGCACGCTAGTGCGATTGTTGAGTCAACACCTTCACATCCCAAACCAGGGTGGGGATACACATGTAAACTGCTAGATACATGGCCACATGATTCTGAACTAGATCAGCACCATTGCAAATGATTGTGAACTATCAGGAACGACATTGCAAATGATTGCTTACCAGAATTTCCTTTTTGTTCAGGAAAATTTTACCTTCAATAATGAAGCGCAAATGAGCACAATATTCCTTGTATCAAGCATGTCTGGACAGAGTTTTCAGAACTATGTTCATATTGAATCATCCATTGATTGTATCTGTAAGCGACAAGTAACACATGTCACTCTTTTCATCTCCAATGCATGTTTAAGCGGAATCTCAAAACGTAAAGTCTTTTGCAAAGAGTTCTAAATGCGTCTTGAAAAATAACATAAACAACAGAGACCATTAATTATCCACTCTTCCTCAAAGAGGACTTCTCTTCACTTTCTTTTTTCTGGTAAATACTCTTCATATTGTTGAAATTGTTCAGCATATCTTTAACAACGACTCGATTCATTTAATTTATATATCATGGTCATTCGTACATAGACTTGCTCTATAAAATCAAGTTTTTATGCCCTAATGGCAGTGTGCCATGTAGCACATCAGCGTATCTCAATACCAGGCAGCTAATCTCTCACTTCCCTCGTAACTCCTAGATCAGTTTGAAGGGTGTTCATGGTTATGACCCAATCTTGATAATTCGTGATCTACCATTTTGCCTCCGTCTGCATCGAGGTTCCGTATAAAACTTCTCGACGCTCGCAACTCTAATTCCCTTGCGTTCTTCCTTATCACTGTTCATCAGTGTGTCAAAGGGCAGGGGAATCGACCGGAAAAAGGTGTACACACTATACTCCTACCGTCACACATCTCAAAAGCCACGAGCATTCGCGTTCAATTGCTTTGGGATTTCGCGGGGAAACAAGGGAGGCGGAGAAAGAGACGAACCTTTCAACGGCGGTGCGTATGTTCCCCGCGGCGGCAGCTGTTGCGATCGAAGGTTTTAACAGACTCAACTACAAACACAAAGACAAATCGATCGATACAAATAGGACGCGAGAACTCAAAAAAAATGAGGAAGAAGAGTTGGGCCACCGGAAAAGATGACCTCATCATCTGCGGTGGCGAAGGTGAGGGGTGGTCTGCGACGCCATCAATGTGGCCGCGAAATGGCTTCCTCTCGCCTCCGTGGGAGTACTTGAGATGAAGAAGGGAGCCAGAGAGCGCGAGGGACGAAACGGAGAACCCCAATTCGAATACTTTCACGAAGGAACAAACCCCCAATTTCAAGAAATCGTTTTACGCGCGCGTATTTGAGATCTGAAACCCTTCAAAAGAAACTTCTAAACAATTATTTTGATACATAAAAAGATGAATCAGTTCGTTAGACTGGAAAAATCGTAAAGCGGTTTTTGAATTGGTTCGATTCTGTTGCAATGTCAACTGTGTTATAAAACCGATCTGAACTGGCAAACAAATCATTTCTTTTTTTTTTTTGGGAAATCATGAATTTTTAAAATTTTGCCATTGGGATGCATAAAAAAATTAAATATTTAATTAAATTTATAATATTTAAATTTTATTTATGATTTCTATTAAGATGGAAAAAAAAAGAGAAATATTTATACCTTCAGATCCCCTAGTAAAACAATGCATGAAGTTTATTCGATGAAAGACCGGATTTGCTCACTTTTATTTTTGCTAAACTAAAATATGAGGTAAAAAATTAAACTCGGTTTAAGCATCCAAATCAATCCTTAAGGTTGCCTGATTCTTCTTTTCCTACACCTCTAAAACATGATCTCAGTATTAAAGCACCAATTAATTCAGTCCAAAAAAAAAATTAATGGCTCAGTTTTTTTTTTTTTTGATAGAATGATTGCTAGTTGACTTAATTCAGTCCAAAATTAATGTCTAATCACTATAGGTAGATATTCCTGTAAAATCCATCAATAATCAGAGCAAAAATTGAAAGCAAAACGAAAGATATATCCATCATATGATCTGCCCAAAAGAGTTGAATGCAGAAGCCAAAAAAGGATGATGATGCTGTAATTGACCAGTTCACTGAGGTGTTTGCTCCCCCACACCCTGTCCATGATTCAATGGGCATCATATGTGCATGAGTGATGCAGTGTCATCTTACTATAATTTTCATTTGAATAAATCATGTTAGTTTAATTTCCTAGATCGGTCGAGTAGAATAAGATGAAAACAAATGAGAGAAAAATGAAACAAATCAAAATTTTGATTTTGATTGAAGAACAACCTGCAAGAACAGGAGGAATCTGATCAGCTGGAATATGGGGGGCCAAATAGGAACCTCTGCTGATGCTTTTCCCACTGCACATGCTGGAGATTTGACAGGCACTTGTGGTCTGCTGTCTGCTATCACAAAGAATCAAGAAGTAAAGCAAGAATGGGGCATCCATGGAGCTGGTCCTGAGATTAGACCTGCTGAGACTCGGAAAAAGATCACTCCACTATGTCAGTCATATTACTTTGAGTAATTTGATGAAAGTTTCATGTTTCTTTCTAGGTCAAGACACAGATCACAGAAAGTCTATCAAGAAGAAAAGCAAGCGTGGGGCATCCATAGTGCTGGTCTTGACATTAGACCTGCTTAGACTCAACAAGAGATCACTTCACACTGTCAGTCATATTACATGAGTAATCTGATGAAAGTTTCATGTTGCTTTCTACTTCAAGACTACTGCTCACTGAAAGACTTATAATTCCTCTTGTTAGGTTCAGAATTCATAAGAAAAAGTAATATTTGTCATTTTAGTGCATTAAGCTAGTAGCTTGTTAACCAAATGCAAGTCTCATAGGAAAAGGACTACCTGGCAAGTTGCAAGCCCTTATTCCATCACTTATTCTCCAAACAAACATCTATCAATATCCCAATAATTCTATAAATGTATCAAGGAAGAAGAAACTCTTGGATACAGTTCTTTTCCAGAGGAGGATAGCTCTGATGATAAACTGGTGTAGGACTTTGGGTATTATCTTATTTTATGAGAAAAACTTAATAAGGGTAAAAAGAGAAATAAAGAAGATCCAAATTATGTAACTGACATTTAATTGCATAACAAATAAAGACACTTCTGTGGTATGGAATACTTATAACAAGACTTGCTGCTGTCAGAATCCATCATTTAATTCAAGAAAACATGCTGCAAACTTGGACTTAGACTTGAAATTGCCAAACCAATATAAATGGCCAAACATACTGCAAATATGCCACATTCTATTCAGTGATTCAGCCTCTAAGAACAGAAATGGCCACCTATTTAATGATTCAGCCTCCGAGAACAGAACTGAAATGCTTTTATGGAGCTCTAGTAAATCACTTGCAATTTATTCAAAGACTGACAAAGTCTTGTAGCCGATGTTTTTCCTACAATTCTGATCTCCAGTCCAATATGTAACACAGGTTTGCCATTTATCCAACTGTTCTCCAGGATTTCAGATCATATATTTATCTAGAGTATTTTCATTTGAAAAGACCAACATGGAGGTCTGTTATAAAGTGTTGTCACTGATCTACATGTTAAAAAAATAAAAAGAAAAATTGCAACAAGTAACTAATGAAGTCAGATGAATGCCAGGAATAATGAAGTGATACAATAATTTAACAAGGTCCCATGACAAGAAAAGCTGGCTCAACCAGAAGCTTGTTCCTTATAGCCGTAATAACAGTGTAGCCCCAAATAGTTACCACATCTTATCACACAATTCTTAGAAGCATAGCCAGGAAAGAATCTCTAACACAACATTCAAGTATCCAAACAACTCATAAGAACAGATAAATATTAAAAGATCTGCAGATTACATATATAAGTATGCTATCAAGAAATATAATATGGTTCACAAAATGCAGAAAGAAAATTAGTATATAGAGCTCTCAACTGCTTTAAAAAGGTGCTAATATTATGTCACAAGTACTTGGCACAAAACAGAAAAGTTCATTAGAGCTGGAGCTACCTACTGACTAGTATGAGAACTGATCTCGATTCCCTGTGTTGAAGATGAGAAGCAAATATATTTTCATCAAAAGTGGTACAAAAGTAAAGAGGAAGATGAAAAACTGAAAAAGAAAAGAAATTTGTTAAAAGCATTAGAAAAGAACAAATTGAAACATTAGATTCAGAAATATCAGGACCTAGATAGAGATGAACGGTAGAAGAAAATACAAGACCTGGACTCCAAATAATTTAGAGGGTTCTGACAATTTCTTGCATTAGAATGCTCGTGACATGTCCTCCAAAAACAGCACACAGAATAAATATTATAGGTAAAGTTTTCATGAGTTGGAATTGGTGATTTTCTCTTAAGTACCTTCATGCATCTTGTGATCTTCTAAACACTAGCAAAGTTTCAATAACTGCTACGGATAATTGCACTAATATACTTAAGGCTGGATTTATTAAGCTTCTGCTGATGCATGATTAATCAGCACAAACCGAGGAAACAATGATACCAAATGGAGAACTCAACCAAATCATATATTACAAGCACAAAATCTATAGAGCATCTAGCCCATTCCGTAGAAGAATACATGAATAAATCAGTCTCAACAGAAAATGAATCCCAGAGATAGAACAATTGGGAACCTCACCCATTTTTGAGCCTACAACAATGAGGTGTCATATCACATACCATGGAGGAAGGAACAAATGAACAATCTCCGAAGGTAGTCAAAAGTCCACTGAGCCCACTAGTAGGCCCCAGGCATGCATGTGGAGGCTATCAGCTCTTTAAAGTATCATCGCACATTAACACAAGAACTATCCATGCCTGCGCTCTTTTTCAAAGGAACCATTCACCTATTCCAGATACTCATCTCCATTATGAGACTACAGTTACCAGTTTATCATCAAGACTTTTCCTGTAACCCCCAATCAATATGAAAAGCCACTAATTTACTCAGCCACTTTCTCGCTTGCAGTTCCCTGGGAGAAGGTATCTGTACCGGTCAGCATTCTGAATTAGATAACTTGGAAGATTCACTGCAGAGTAAGAACTAGGAATTGGTCCCAACTTGGCAATGATTTTCTGGAATGTGTACTCCTCAGGAAGCATGTCAAACAGGTCTGCTCCATGGCATATGACATCTTGAATTCTGGAAGGACTCAAGTAATAGGAAAATCTGATGCGATCGACGTGGCTGTAAGCTTTCATTTTGAATATAAACTCGCTAATATGCCGGAAGCAGAAGCTGCAGTGCCATCCAGAATCAGCTAACAGGTCGTCAGTCTGACGAAAATGGGCATATCTGGTCTTGCCATCTCGATATCGGTGAATCGAAGCCCTCCAGCTATCATCATCAACATAGAACTCAAAGGAGTAGAGGTAGTTCCGCAGCTGGAGATGAATCATTTCTGGAATATCATCACACCACCTAAGCAGGTTGATTGTATGGCCACTGGGGATCTCATCAACATCAGACATGATCAACAGGTCATCATCGCTGATGCCAGCGATCCTGATAAGCTGATCTAGTGCCACTCGTTGGTAGGACTCCTCGACAAAAGGATTCTCACCTTTCATGAATCTCCCCCCAACAGTCCCATAAGTCAACCGTGACTCCACAAACTTGAAGCGGCTTCGGTTGCTCGCAAAGAAAAGGGGCTTCTTCAAGCCAGTGAATGTCGAATTGGACTCAAGCAGGATGAACTCCGAGACGTACGGGCTGAGCTCATTCCACCGGACTTCGAGAATGTCAAGCTCATTGCTGAACAAGACGGCATCAAAGACGCGCCTAGGAATCTCTCGAGTTCCCCATCCGTGGAGCTTGCACAGGTTCTCCATGGAGACGTTCTCGTGGTGGTAATGGGGTATGGTTCTGAAGGGTTTAGGGGGGGATTCCCACAATGGCCGGAGGAAGTAGGTGATCTTCTGGCCGTGGACATGGATAACGAATATGAGGATGGGAACGCCGATCAAGAGAAGTAATAACGCCTTGAAATCGAACCACCGGAGGGCGCATCGGAGCCGCTTAGACATGCTAAGAGCTGCCCTTGAAGCCTGCAACAAGGTCCAGACACAATGTAAGAATAGATCAAAGCCAAGAAAGGCTCTAGAATCCCTAGATTTGCCAATATGGGGGCGACAAGCACGAAATCTTAGGTGTTCAGTCGAACATTGTAGGGTTCACAAGGAGAAAACGCGATCGATCGCCACAAATTGCGATCGGAAGAGATGACTACCTCACCGCAGACGTCGTCGCAGATATCATCCGTCTTCTTGGAGCGATAAGGGTACCCGGTCTCCGGCATACTGAAGAAACACCCCCAAAGAAAAAGATCGACCTTTTCCCCAACAAGAACAAATAAAAAAAAGCCGTCTTTTTCTCCCCAAAGGCAAGATTTACCCCCAGCAACGCTCCCCCGGCGCGGATCGGTTCCCGCAGCCGTCCCACCCGCCCTTGATATCTCTCTCCTCTTCCCCCTTCCTCTATTATTATTCCTCCTCTTTGTCTGCGGCTGTTGGGTAATGTAGTAGTATTACGCTTCCCTAACACTGTACTCAAACCTCTCTAATTATAGCCGTTTGAGCGGTGGCAGTGCTGTGTTCTCTCTCCCCACTTCCAATTCTACGCCAAGGCATCGAGTAGAATTAGTCGCTGAAGGTAGAAGACGGATGGAGGCTTTTTACCGTATTGCATACGGGGAACACAACGAGAGAAGAAGCAAAGACGACGACGATGAGCGTAGTTCTCGACCAAAACAAAGCGTGTTGTTATCGTCCGGATTTGTTGGTATGGACTTCAAAGTTCAGGGTTGGCATGTTGATGTCGATGCTCACATTGACCCGTTAAGATTTGGTAGGTTTCTTCTTATCTACTGTAACCGACTCCTCTTTCTGAATCATTGACTAGCACAATTATCAAAGCATATTATGTATATAGATGAAATATTGTATAACAATTAGAGTAAGTTTATCTTTCACAGACCAAATCTATAATGAATTGGCCCCAAAACCATGTGGAATTGTTCAATGTTGATGAGATCATATCACCCTAACCTTGGACTTGATGCCCAAAATTCCTCTTTCCTCACCCCTAAGAAATCAACTAAGTTGTCTTGCATTCATAAAGATACAATGAAAGTGCCCACCAAGTCCCACGTCCAACCATGAAGTCCACTATCTAAAATAATGATGCGTAGGAATATTCTTAGTCTCTGATGATAACTATGCATTGGTGTCATACTTCCAATTCCAATCATAATTTCCCCATCAGTCATTTATCATGAACTTCCATGAACTTTTGCTAATCGCTAATGATGTTAATTCCATAACTTAAGTTAAAAATAAAAGCAATAAATATATTAAAAGACCATAATTTAATGACTGTTGATTTGAATTAAGCTTCAATCAACAATGAATTTATAGTTACTAACAGAGGCTAACTGCAATAATACATATCAAATTTTAGGTTCTGAAAATGTGTAAATATGTGTGTGCAAGTTAAATTTAAATACATAGGATAAATATGAAAACCATTAACTTTGAAGGAACATCTATGTATGCAATTGTGTCAATATTAGTTGCTTGTAGCAAGGGCTTGATTGAGTCCAACCATTAATGCTCCTAGGTGGAATTCTACTCACCAAGTCCAAATCAATGGAGTTCCTTGTTTCAGCAAGAACTTGTCAACCATCATTTGGCCTTGCAGTTTATATTTTCTTGGTAGCTGACATGAACAACAAATTTAAGAATGAGATTGGTATGTCATGAATCAAGTTGAAGCTATGCAGAGAATTCCAAATACGCAAACTGTCCACTTTACAAACATACATAGTACCCAGTAGATATACCTTTCAAGAGCAGGCAAAAAAAACACTACTAAAAGACATTTAAGTTGAATGTTGACTAGAGAAGATCATATGATGTTCAGGATCCATTAATCAAAATGTAAATACCTTGGTTTTCATGACTTGACTTGACCCAGGTCTTCAGTAGGTAAGTTATCTTTGACCTCCTTTGCAAATTTAATGTGTCCATGTAGGTCTAGGATTTGAATCCTTCCAAATTCATATATATCAATGATCACTTGCACAGTAACTTCTATTCCCTCTCAATGGCTGGACTCGAAGAATTCAAAAGGTTTCAGACCATGATACCATCACCAAGTTGTAGGCCAATAATGGCATTTGACATATTGCAATCACTACAGTGTGTCTATAAGAAAAGATTGCAAAGCCAAAACATCCTCCATGATTTATGATCCTTGATATATAGAAGTTACAATGCATCCTACTGTCTTGCAACAACTAAAGTTGCTTGAATTCAAACAGTCTTGCAACAACAACAACAACCAGCATCTGTCCTTACACTGGACCATCCTCTAGCATAGATGTTCTGCAAGCTCTTTCCATGTCCATCCTCTATGCAACTACTAATCCCAAAACCCATTTCCTGCCCATGCTTGACCTAGATTACAATGACTTTTAAGCACAGAGGTTCATGAGAACAGACATTGAGTTATCTGCGGTTTCAGCAAAAATGGTGCACCAACATAAATACAAACAGCCACAAGAAGGAATCAGAAGAAGAACGATTGTTCCTGTTTCTTCCTTGACTAGAATAATCACAATAAACATGTAAGCTTTCTAATGCCAAGATAAAACAACTGGCAAGATACTCCCAAGTCCCAATGGAATTATAGTCTAAACTATACGTGGCAGCTGCAAAGGAGTTCGGTTACCTACTAAAACCTGGTTGGCAAAAGAGGGGTCCACTGCTGCCATTGCCATCAAATGGAACATGGCTTAGTTGCCTCCACGCAATAAAGAAGCTCATTGCAAAGCTCATAGCCTTCCAAGCACCAAGGTCAAACTCTTCATCTGTTACAATCCATACCATCAATACAGCTAATCATCCAACAAGTCAAGTAACTTTGGCCTTATGCCACCTGGAGTTGGGTGTTCAGAATCAGATACCTAAAAAATTTGCAGTCAAATACTATAATGAAGTCTTTTAAGCTAGAAGGCAATGCATTGGATAACATAATTTTGTTGTTAGCTTTCTTGGTTTCCAAAGATTGTCTTATTTGATCAACTACTACAGTAGAGACTAAAAGTGAATATAGATATCAAACATGCAAATCAGTGTAGAGGAACACTCAATCTCAGATAAAACAATTTAAAATGAGATTGAGGGTGAATTGTTAAAATACAATAAAATCTCCAATGCAGCCATTGCGTGCATGAACTCAGGTTTATGTTACACCTTGAGTAACGATTTAACTACCCCTGTATGAGTAATATCAACAGAGTAATAAGATCAGGGGTGTCAAGTTTGATCCAACATGCCAACTTGGCATGAACACAACACAATATTAGCAGGTTTAAATTTGCCTTATAAGGAAAATTCATACTTGAATGATACATTTGTTCTAGGTCAAAGGGATTTGCAAAATTTTTCCCCTTGAAAAATTCTTGGTGCTTACTTTAGACATCCAAACCTCCATGGGAAGATACCAGGGACAGTTTATGGAAGATATGTTGCTAGGGGTGACTGTAAGAGCCAAAGGAGTTGAATTGTTTAGCTCTGAAAGTAGAAGTATCCTCAAATCAGAGTGTGGTGGATGTGATCTACACGTGGTGATTAGGTAAACTCTGAGTACCTATCTCATTTACAAAATACTAATAAGCATGACTTCTCAAACCATGATAGTTGCATGGCCATCTTAGTTGGATTATTTGTGTATTTGTTGGTTCAATTTGTAAGAATAATAAAGATATGGCCAATCATGAAATAACATTATTTCCTAAGTTCATAATTATATGTTCAACATAAATTTGCCAAATATGATAGCTTGGTGTGTTTTTCTACTTGTCGAAATCTTCATATTTCATCAATGTTATAGTCTAATGGGATAGACTGATCTATTAACATTTTTTAGCATAAACCATTATGTATAAACTAAAGTTAATAATAGTATATCAATCAGACCCATATAAGCAAATCCAAGTCTTAGCCCACTTTTGATGTGGGACTAAATCGGGGGTGTTACAAATCAATTCTATTCTTGTTCTTCCTTACAACTAGAAAGGCAAGATATAAGTTTATGAGAAGTTTCTTACAAGAAACTACTACCACAACAGATGTCATCCTAAAAAAAACAGAAGCAATTTGCATCTCGTACAACGACTACTCGGTTCTCCATTTAAGAGATAAACTTTATTGCATTATGACAATCTCCACAAAGATGGAGATTTTTGGCTATACAAATCACAGCCCCAAGACCCATGTTGGTCAAACCAAAAGGGATAGTGAGCCTCTAACTATGATATGACAGCACAACTTCAACTTCCTTGCTCTCATCATTTACATTGTGAAGTGTGAATCTACAGAAAGAACATTAACCAATTGTTTCATCCATACACCTAGTTGGTCCAGATACAACTATATATTCTCTGATATCTAGGATGAGAAGTATCATCCATAACAAATGTTGTTTAACTCAATCAAGCTAATGCCCTGATCCTTGTTCAGTCTTCTCTCTATCTTAGTTTCCTCGGTTTATCTACATCAGTCCACCTTGATGCATAAAGGTCAGATAAAAGAACATAATATCCAGCAAAGGAATGGTCCGTGTTTAAGATCCTATTTGCAATTCTTTCTCCTATATTAGATCCCCATAGATTTGAGAGGCTCCAAGAAGAGCTCCCTAGATACTGACATTTACTCAATGAGCTCTTCAGCTTCGTGTACCTTCCCTAACAGCCTGAGGATGTCTACCATGCCTGCAGAGTGATTCAGCTTTGGCTCTACTCCCTACTTCCTCTTAAAATCCTGAATGGCTACAAGAAGACATGAGACTTGCAAATGTTGCAGCATTTGACATCACTGCATCGTTTACCATTATCTCAAATATAGAGATGGCATCTCTGGCAAAGCCATGTTATCATCATACAAGCTTAAACATGTCTTTGATCGCATTCTACGAGTCCCAAGTCGGCCGTAAGCAAGGAGATCATTCCACAAGGTGGCCTGGTTGGGCTCCAAAAGGAATCCAACGTCTCCGTTGTGGCCACTGTGCGCTTACCCGGAAATCATAGAAACCCAGAAACCAAATCTCTACTAGCCATTTTACCGAATACCTGCCGAGCGCCTAAGACATCGCCGCACTTGGATCACATGTCGACCAGCGCTTCACGCACGAAGAAATCGCTGGCGCATTCGAAGAAAAGGGAGTGTTCGTGGAACAGCTTCCCACGCTTCAGTTGGATACAGCGGAGAAGAGGACACTGAACTCGTCGGGGACGAAGGCCGGAGGAGAGGAGAGCGTGACGGAGGCGGAAGGGTTATCAAGGGCTAATTACTATTAATTATTACTCCTATTTAGACCCTCGTAGCATCACAATTCTTTTACTTAAAAAATTTATACTTAAAATCCTAATAGTTATAAAAGTAAAACAATTTATCTCTTTTTTTCTAATACCATCGGCGATAATAAACCTTGGGCACTCCTTTGTCAACATCTGCCCAAACGTGCCCTATCTCGTTAGCTCCAGCTCCAGCTCCATCACCATCACCTCTTCCTCCTCTCTGTGTCCACCACTCTGATGAGAGCACCGCCATAGGAATAACCATATTCTAATCCATCTTCGGAGCATACGTGAGCGTCAACACTGCCACCCCTCGCTCCATTACACCACTCATCCTTCGAAACGAGTCGGCTTGCTCCTCCGTCGCCTCCTTTGAGAGCTCCTCATCCTCCGCCTTTGTCCCTCTACAACTT